CTCTTTTTCACCACCTATATCAATGTTTCCAATAAGTACAATTCATTCATGAGAAACCATTCTTTTCTTTTTGGTAAATGAAAAAAAAAAAAAAAAATCCCATTCTCATTTTACGAGAGGTTCATTTCTGTTGAGTTTGGCTTGACTTCGATCATGTTAAACGTATTCGTTTCGGCATTTATATTTCTTCCCTTTCACGCCCAAAGCAACTATTCACTGATTGTCGCGACGTCAGAATTATAGCCGGTCAATTGGTCCAGAGGCGGCGCCTCCTCCTCCTCTTTGCAATATTGATTTGGCGCGCAGCTCATCCAATCGCCGGTCGTTTTGCTGAAAGGAAAGAAGACCAGTCAATCTCCAACGGCGGCAATCCGGAGGTTCTATACTCATTCTAGCGGTTCTGCAGCTGATCTGAGAAAATCATACCTATTTTAGTCGTGAAGGAGCAGCCTTCGCGACAAAGCAGCGAAGCGAACCCGAGGGAGCAGATCCGGGGGCTTCGTTACGGTAAGTGGTGCTGAAATCCTCGCGAGGAAAGACGAGCCTTACCTTGGTTTGATCAATTTATGTCAGGTAAATTCAGAACTTCTTACACTTAATTCTTTTGCTATTGATTGCAAACTTCTCCATCCTGTTCAAATGAGTTTCGGTGTTTTCATCTATTTCGCTGAATCTTGAATCATTAGTGAGTGGTCTTAATGATATCGTTTCTGAGCTGTAGATTTTGATCATAGAGGTGGGATCTAAATGGAATTTATGTTGTTATAATGCCTACTTTTGTTAGAAAATTTAGAGCTGATGTTCTGTATGGTTTCACCATACGCAGCAAATGCCTTTTCTTTTGTATAATATCAATTGATTTTTGTTCAATTGTGATTTCCTTTCAGTTTAATATGTTGAATCCAGCTTTAAATTTTTTGGGGTTTCAAATTTTGATACTTTTTGATGAGGTATTGTTGCTTCTTAATTGATGATTTAATCATCTTTGCTGACCAAATCATGATAACAGGCACTATGGCCTTAGCTGCTTTAAACGTAGTAAATGCAACCTTAAATTGGGTCACAGCTGCTTTAGATGTTCCTTCTGCTCGAGCTGTTGTATTTGGTGTGCACATTGGAGGTAACTCTTCATCTTATAATGATATCTTTCATCCATTCGGGCTGGAGAAGTGAATTGACTCAAACTTTTGGACCTTTGGTTTTAGGACACTTATTTGTGGAGGGCCTTCTTTTAGTTGTCATCCTTTTCCTGCTTTCCCAGAAAAGTTACAAGCCTCCTAAGCGACCCTTAACAAAGAAGGTTTGAGTTACATTTCTGTCTTTGCTAATATTTTTTTTCCTAGATAAAAGTTATAACTTCTCTGATTCTACCTGTTTGGGTGTTACAATTGTATGAATGCTTGTAATTGTTAAGATTCTATGCAAACTGAAGTTGCCATGAACACTGTCAACAGAACGTTACTGGATTAATCGGTTTTCTGTTCTTGTCCAGGAACTTCTCATGAGTGTATCTGGTTAATAGACTTTTTTTTAATAACTTTTCTTCTTTAATTGGTTTTCTATGCAATTGAACCTTGTCCTATTTTTGGATCAATAAGCTTCGAAGCTTGTATTATTGTAGTTCTTGTTAAATCCACAGCAGGATAGATGATTTGTGCCAGGCTAATATTAAAAGTTCCCATGATGTCTGTAGGAAATAGATGAATTGTGTGAAGAATGGGTTCCAGAATCTCTGATTCCTCCTATTACAGAAGAAATGCAGAGAGAACCCCTTGTGTTGGAAAGGTGAAGATAATTGTTTTTTTTTTTTTTGTGTCACTTGTTTTGCATTTGATGATAGCATATTTATTGTTCTTCTTTTATTCATTTAATTTTGAGATCAAACCGGTTTTTCCTTTTCTCCCTCCTGCCCTTACTGTCTTTATTCTTTCACCCTTTGAATTGTAATGTAGTTGTTTTACTGCCCTACGTTATCTTGCATCTGGTCATTACTTATAACTAAAAAAATTTGGAAATCTACTTTTGATATTTTCATAAATGTTACTGCTCCTAAGCAAATTACTTGTAAAAGGCATCCTAACTTAAGAGTTGCTTCTGATGCAGTGCTGCAGGACCCCATACAATAATCAACAGCAAAGAAGTTGTCAACTTTGCTTCAGCAAACTATCTTGGGTTTATAGGACATGAGCAGTTACTTGTGAGATAACCTATCCCTCTTATTTATCTTTCTTTTGTGGTATTGGATTAAATGAACATAGAATTTTTTGAAATTTGTTACTTCAGAATTCATGCACTTCTGCTTTGGAGAAATATGGTGTTGGTTCTTGTGGTCCTCGTGGATTCTATGGAACAATTGGTAGGGCTAAGATAATGCAACTTCTTTCAGATGTGCAATGTTGATTGTCTTTCAAAATCTTTTCATGGGGACATGATTCATGTTGTGTTGACTTCATTTGTTCAGATGTCCACCTTGACTGTGAGGCTAGAATAGCAAAGTTTTTGGGGACACCTGATTCCATCCTCTATTCTTATGGACTTTCCACCATGTTCAGTGCAATTCCATGTTTTTCCAAGAAGGGTGACATAATTGTTGTGTAAGTAAATGCAGTCTGACTGCTTCTACTGGTTACCCATTTGGCTGTTAGCCTGGATTTTTCAATGTTAAAACTTGTAAAAGATGATGCATTGTATGTGTGATACTTTCAAACTTCCCTTTATTTTTTTCATTCTCCCATTTCTTCCCCTTTTAAATGTCTGCATAACAACATGGGACAGGTCTTTTGAGTCATACTCAAAAGAAAAGAAGGTTCTTTGTGATACTAGGAATTGACAAAGTGCAAGATGGACTTCCATATTTCTTAATTCCTTTCTTCTTGTGTCACATTGGTTGGCAAAAAGGACTGTGCTGACTTCTGTTGGATGGCTTTTATTAGCTAGATTATGATATTATTAGCAGTTAGGGTAGGCATAATAGTTCAATGGAATTTGGTTGGTTACACAACATGTTAAGGATGGGGCAACAGGAAAATGGGAAGGGTGGAGGGGAGGTTGGGTGGCGCTTAGGATGGAAGTAGAGCTTGTTAAGTAACATACCACATGTGTATGTATCTGATCATTGTAATCTTTCCTGTGTGGAAAGCTTATAATATGCTATCCACAAGTGTAAGATTTTGCTTCTAAACTAGTTCTCCTAAAGTAATTGTTCACCCTCATAAATTTCATGTTTTGTTGGCTTTTCCAGGGATGAGGGAGTCCACTGGGGAATACAAAATGGCCTCTACCTTTCTAGAAGCACTGTTGTCTACTTTAAACACAATGATATGGAATCTCTACAAAACACTCTTGAGAAAATTACTTCAGAGAATAAACGCATAAAAAAAGTGCGGCGCTACATTGTGGCTGAAGCAGTGTATCAGGTATATAATGACTAGAAGTACACATAAACCTTGTCTGTCCTCTCTCCCTCCCTCCCCACCCAAAGACACTATACAAAAAAAATTAAAAAAAAAAGAACAATACTTTACAGGAAAGAATTTCTTATAAAAAGCTCCACTAATAGTGGGGAGATTATACTTGAAAATGCTAAGGACAGGAGAATAGATTAGGCAAGTTTCTTTCAATCATCCATACTGTTAGTTTGCCAGTTGGTACTTGGCATGTGGTGGGTCAAGATTTCATGTTGGTAGTATGCATGTTGTTACTAAGTTATTTAACATGCCAGTGATAATGGTATGTACCATTGCAACTTTGTCTTACTTCATGAAATCTAACCTTGCTTTCTGGAGCTGTTATTGATTATAAAATTTTGTAGAATTCTGGTCAAATAGCTCCTTTGGACGAGATCATCAAATTGAAAGAGAAATATCGTTTCCGTGTTTTATTGGATGAGAGTAACTCATTTGGTGTACTTGGCAGTTCGGGAAGAGGTCTCACTGAATACTGTGGTGTTCCGGTGTGTTTCCTGGTTAATTGTGTCTATCTTGTTTCTTTGATTGTTCAGTCTTTATTGATTAAGAATTGCCTGATGTTGTAGGTTGAGAAGGTAGACCTCATAACTGCCTCTATGGGACATGCTTTAGCAACAGAGGGCGGATTCTGCACTGGAAGTGCAAGATTCATTGATCACCAAGTATGTATGTTGTACAAATAGGGCCATTTATCAAATAAACAAAATTGTTGACTAACGGAAGTTCCACGTAATTAGTATTCTTAATAGATGGTCATGATTACTTTTTGCAATATTCAACTTCTAATGCTTAAAATCTGCTAATTTGTGCCAGCGACTGAGCAGCTCAGGGTATGTCTTTTCTGCTTCTCTGCCTCCATATCTTGCAAGTGCTGCAATTACTGCCATTGATGTTCTAGAGAAAAACCCTGATCTGATATCAAAGCTGAAGGAGAACATAGCAAAGTTGTGGACAGGTTGACATTGAACTAATTAATTTGTGTATTGCATGGTTTTGAACTTTTACTACTAGTTCTGCCAGTCATAAGAATTAAAATTTGAGTACTTTAATCCTGTAAACTTGATAGCTTGGCTTGATCAGACCTTTTTCTGGTTCCTAAAATTGTTCTGATAATGCAGGACTGTCAGATATCCAGGGGCTGTCAATAGCAAGCACCCCAGAATCACCTATTGTTTATCTTAGACTAGAAACATCCACTGGTTCAGTAAAAGATGATCTTAAGCTCCTTGAGGATATTGCTGATCATGTAAGTAAACTTTCTTCAGTACCCAACTCATATTTTCTCATTGAATATTGATTCCATTTTCTAAATTTTTCACATGGTTACAGGCCTTGAAGGAAGACTCAGTATTTGTAGTGGTTTCAAAAAGATCAACACTAGATAAATGTCGTCTACCCATTGGTATCAGATTGTTTGTTTCTGCTGCCCATTCAGAATCCGATTTGTTGAAGGCATGTGAATCATTAAAACGAGCTGCAAAGATAGTACTTGTGAATCATATATGATCTATATACCTGCCTGTCTGAATTTTCCACGGGGTGGAGCATGGCAGCAGCCAATGCGGTGTCCGTGAACTGCTGAAGAGTGATGTACCAGTGGAGCCAGGGTAATAGCTTAGCGCTGCATGGCGATCTCCATGCGGTCTCATGCAGGACCAAATTTATTTTCCAGTGTCATGTGAACATTTTTGGGTAGCAGACCTAAGAATCAGCACCTTATCTTTTGCAAGCATTAGTCTTGACCCCTGTTTGGTACTTTTCTTGAGAAAATTTTTAATTATTTTCCATGTATTATTTTCTTTTACAATATGATAATTAGTTATATAATTATATGATTTTGCATATATATATATATATATATTTTAAAAATATAATATTTGTGACATAAACCAGCGGATATAGACATTTCTTTCGATATCGGTCTTCTCTTCCAGGCCCAATATCTGTTTTGGGTCTGATGGGAAGGCCAAGCCCAGATCTTATAGTTTACACCTCATTAGGCCCGGAGAGAAATGGATAAAATATTCAAACATTGGTGTTTAATGGATCAAGCCCAGATTTTTTTGTAAATGTAACTGAAGTGAGCGACGGTGGCAGGGCGGGGACATTCTCTCTCCTCCGGAAAACCCTAACCTGGCTGGTGTCGAGAACCAGGTCGACCTCGATCCGGTAAAATGGACGGACACTCTTCTCACCTAACAGCACCGAACCGCTCCCGCAGTTCCCAAACTCCGTCTCCATCGCACTCGGCCTCTGCCTCTGCCACCTCTTCTCTCCACAAGCGCAGGCTCGCCGCAGCTGTATCTGAGGATCACGCGCCACCTTCCTTGTTTCCTCCTTCCTCCTTCTCCGCTGACACCCGTGATGGTGCGCTGACCTCAAACGATGACCTCGAGAGCATATCTGCTCGCGGAGCTGACACTGATTCCGACGCGGATGACTCAGAGGACGCCGTTGTTGATGATGAGGAGGACGAATTTGATCACGATAATGATTCCTCTATTCGCAACTTCACTGCCGCTCGTCTCGAGTCCGGCGCTGGCGCAGGTGTTACTGGCTCTGCCAGGAACACCAAGCTGAAGACTGAGAACTCAAATGTTAAAATTGAGAGTGTGGATGTCAGGAAGGACGGTGGGGGCCCCGGGTCTATATCATCAGGACCCACGGCTGCTGCCGCAGTAGCAGGAAACTCGGTGCCGGGAATGCTCGTGAAGGAGGATGAAGTTAAGACACTTACCGAGAATATACCGACTAGTGGAGCTTATAGTGCCAGAGAGGAGAGCTTGAAAAAAGAGGTTTAAATCTCTTTTTATCATACTGAGTTAATTTAGTTTAACCAATGGGCATTATGTACTACATGGGGTCATCTATCTTCTAAGGCATCTAGCAAGAATAGAACTTCTACTACAGTTTGGATGGGTTTCTTGTGGCTGAATTGTGTTGTAATTGGCTCCTCCCTTTGATTTTTGGTTTTCAGGAGGAAGCAGGAAGACTCAAGTTTCCATGCTGTTGGAATGATGGTGTTGATGAACATATGATTTGGTTTCCAATTCTCCTTACTTAAGCATTTCTGCTGCATCTACATTTTCCAGTACTTAAAAAGTTATCTGAAATGTTAATTATGCACATTTTGCTTAAGCAATTCAGGGGGACAATTTTTGCTATCTTTGTTTCTGCCCCTTTTTTTCCTTTGATGCAACTTGTCAACATAGTGTGTTATTTAGTATCCACTAATGTCTTCCTTCTGTGTTTCTAGGTTGATTGGATTGAAGAATATATTTGCCAGACAGCTACCCAACATGCCTAAGGAGTATATTGTCCGCCTTGTGATGGACAGGTAGTAAGATAAGATCCATTTAAGGTTTAAATAGTGACACTATGTCATGTTAAACTGTTAAAGTCCTTCAATTTAGATTAAATGTTAAAAGTTACAGGAAACAAATGATTTTCTGTGTGCACTGCAAAATTGACTGATGGCTATTGGTGACCTGTTTACATCCGTATTGATCAATTCACAACCAACCTTTTATATCCATAGGTAAACATACAATCAAATGGACACCCCTAAGACATTTATGAACAAGTGGTTTTGCCTTTAAGATGTGTTTGGCAAATTGACACTGAAACATTTTTAGGCAGAAACATGAGAAACATTTTTACACCCATGGGTTATTTTCTTTTGGGATGTTAACTACCATTTTGCGGGCTTGTTAGCTGTAGTAAATTACTCCATGAATTCATTTTTTATGCCAGTCAAGTCTTATTCTCTCCTTTACCTTTTTCAGTTTTATACTGCTATTAATTTATCTCAGCCCCAATTAAACTTAATTTGGAAAATGGGAAACCTCACAGAAGTTTATTTTTGAGTTTCAAACATTCAGGCATCCTAATAAATGGCTTTTAGGTTGATCTAACTTTTCTTTTATGGGTTGTTGATCTGGCTGAATAAGAAGTTGATAAGTTATCATATGCTTGCGGACTGGCTTATCTTGTTAAACATTCTTCCTAGCCTGACCGTTAACCAATCAAGTTGTCTTCCCTTTTTGTTTTTGAAATAAGAGGTCATATGCATGCTTCATGTATTTACAGGAACCATAAGTCTGTGATGGTTATCAGACGTAAACAGGTTGTTGGTGGCATAACATATCGCCCATATGTCAGGTAAGATTTGTGGTCATCGCATCATTTGTTTTCTTGTTATCTTCCCCATTGTCATGGCCTTGCCTCACATTTTCCTCTTTTGGTTCTTTTTGTCCTCTCTCCCTCCCTCCCTCCTCCCGTGTGTATGCTAGTGTACTGTATCCCCTACACAGACAGTTGCATAACTTCCATTTGCCAGTGTATGATGTATAGTTTGTATTGTGTATAGCTTGGGCCTTTATATGTTTAGCTTCTTTTCACTAATGGATGAGCTTATAAATGAAGAGTACATACTATGTAAGTCATACATAGTAGTATGAGCTAAACTCTAAGGTTCATTAGAGATTGTCTAGTCCCTATCTTGAACTCACTCATTTTAGGGCTAGCCAGAAAATTGATGTCTTTTATATGCTATTACTCCGATTGTATCATATCATGAATGTAATATTTGAATTATCTTATTGCATGGGGCTCTATCTTCTGACATTGCTTTCTTCCTAAATCACAGTCAAAAATTTGGGGAAATAGCTTTCTGTGCAATCACAGCAGATGAACAAGTAAAAGGTTATGGAACTAGATTAATGAATCACTTAAAGCAGCATGCACGTGATGTTGATGGGCTAACACATTTTTTGACATACGCTGACAATAATGCTGTTGGTTATTTTATTAAACAGGTCTGGTCATCTTTCTTCAATTTAATTGGTGATTATTACATCACTGTATAGTCACTTAATTCTTAAAATGTTGAATAAGCTGCTACTCACTGGTTTAGAATATTTTTATGCATCCATCATTTGAATCAGATAGATGTCCTCTTGAATGACCTTATATTTATCTACTTGTAGGGTTTTACCAAAGAGATTCACTTGGAGAAAGAAAGATGGCACGGGTATGGTTAATCGAGAATGATTTTAGTTTTTCTGTGGAGTATCCCTCCCCCACTCTTTAGTCTGGGGTTTTTATGGTTCACCTTAGTAGCACTCTTAATGAGATGGATGCAACTCTCAAGAAAAGGCAAAAGTTTCTTTTTCTGTATCTTATTGTTCCTTTATTCTAAATGACTAAAAAGGAAACCTACGATGATGAGAACCAGATGGTCCATTGAATTTCCTAAAATGTCCTTTTTCCCTGAATTTTTCATTAAAGATGTATCTAGACAATTCTTATAATCATTTCATTTTTCTTGTAGGTACATTAAAGACTATGATGGAGGAATCCTCATGGAGTGTAAAATGGATCCAAAACTTCCATATACTGATTTATCATCCATGATTCGTGATCAAAGACTGGTATAATATCTGCTTGGTCACTGATTTCAGAAAATCTCTAAAGAGTCGTGAAAGAAGTCAAGGAATGCATGGATCTGAAACTGCTAACTATCTTCTGCTCACCCCATGTACCCTACATTCTATTTTCTACCATGTTGATTACTTCTTTCTTTGGCTTAATAGGCACTTGATGCAAAGATAAGGAAACTTTCGAACTGTCAGGAGGTGCACAATCCAGAGAAAGTATTTGGTTTTGATCAGAAGGTAATATGTTTATTGAAATGTTTAAATGTGTGTTTTGATTAAATTCAAATTGAGCTTTATTCATGAATAACAGTTTGTGCTGAAAATTAAAATAATCTATATTTACTGTTATGGCATGCATGTCATATCAACATTCTTGTATTTTACCTTTTATAGGAGTCCATGTCTTTTTGAAGGAGCTACTTTGTTCTCTTGTTATTCAATGCTAAGAAAGCATATATTTTTATTTTTCTGTACTAAATAGCACCTACATTTTGTTGACTGAAATTAGAGAATTTTTCTTATGTTGCTCTTCTTTGCAAGAATTTTAAGATTGAATTTCATGTAAACAAGGTAAAATCTTTATGATATAGATCTGATGAATTATTCATTTGATTCAGAATGAAGCTGGATTTCCTAAGAGGAAGGTCAAAGTTGAGGATATCCCTGGTTTGCGTGAGTTCTCTCTCCTCCACTCTTGTAATGTATAATTTGTATTTTAGTATCCAGTCATCCATTTGGTAATAATAAGGTTCATTAGTGTGCTATGATAATCAGGTGGAATGATCTCCTGCTGGCAGCATGTTATATGGTTTTGGGCTAATGTGCTATGATAATAAGTTGATAACTATAATTTCTCTCTGTAGTGTTTTAAAATTGAACTTTTAGCATTTACAAGATTAGGGGCTGTTGCTTGTGTTTCCATGTCTGGTTGTTGTTTGGCATCACTTGTTTGAAATTAGTAGTTAAACTTGGTGACAGGGGAAGCAGGGTGGACTCCTGATCAATATGGACATTCACGGTTTAGCAGAATTTTCAGTGCTTCTGCAGACGGTGCCACAAATCAAAAAAGTTTGACTGCATTCATGCGCACACTTCTAAAGGCAGGCTTCTGAACTTCTATTTTTATCCCAAACTGCTATTTGGCTTTTACTTTAGAGTTTGTCACTTTGTCTGGTAGAGTTTTCTAACATACTGATGGTAGGTTGGGTGAATTAATGGATTTCGTGATTATCATACTCCTATTGATTTTTAAGATGGTCTTTAACGTCCATGGAAAATATGCACATGGCCTTTTCTGCCTTGTTTAACTTTTAATAAACTAAATTTCCCTGACATCGAGGGTCAGAACACTTAAAAGACATATGTTAGAAGAATGAGGAACCTCAGGTGCATGCTAACTACTTTTCCATGCGCCTTCAAATATCTTTCGGAACACAATGGACCAGAGATTAGGATATGGGATGTTGTTTTACTGCCTCTGCCATTTACATAAGATATACATTAATCTGATATTATGATTTTCCCTTCTCATCAATATTTACGAGATTCCAAGTAAACTAATTCTGTCTAAGCAGTCCATGCATGACCATGTGGATGCTTGGCCTTTCAAGGAACCAGTTGATCGCCGTGATGTCCCTGATTATTATGATATTATTAAAGATCCAGTGGGTAAGATTGAGTTTATATATTTTATTTGTATAACCTATTATTTCTTTTGCAAAAATATTCAGAGACTTATCATCGGTCTATCTGTAGCTGCATAAAAACTTACAAAGATGCAAAGCCTTGCAAATAATTTAATACTTTAGTATATAAATGCAGATCTGAAAACCATGTCAAAAAGAGTTGAATCCGATCAATATTACGTAACATTGGAGATGTTTATGGCTGATGTCAAGAGGATGTTTACCAATGCACGCACATATAACTCTCCTGATACCATATATTTTAAATGTGCAACCAGGCAAGATAATTGGGTTAATTTGGTCATCAATTTTCTTTATTTTTTGCTTTCTCTTCCATCAAGATTCTGACTCAGTGTAAGTTAAACTGCAGGCTTGAAAGCTATTTCGATACCAAAGTTCAAGCTGTTACCCAGCCTGGTACCAAAGTTCAGAAGTGAGAAGATGAATGTTTTATGTTTTGCTAAGAAAATTCCCAGAGATGCATAATTTATCTGTACTATTTATCTCATCCTTGTCTGATATGATTCGTGTATGAATAAGTAGTAAATGGAAAGAGCATTCAATCTCGTGTGTA